CACCCGTTGTCCTTGATCCAGCCCATCTTGTGTCGGATGGAGCGCTCGTCGTCGAAGCCGACCCACTGGTCGCCCTGCACGGCGTACGGCACCTTCATCTCGTCGTCCCAGACGTAGCTGGCGCCCGTCTTGAGCATCTCGCACACCTCGTAGTAGGCCAGGAATCCAGCCTCCTTCGTGAACTCTCCGGCCTTGCCACCGCCGGAAGCGGGGGAGTTGACCTGCGGGGAAAACGGTCATTGACATTATTGCGAGTTAGAAAAAAACACCTCCAGGATGGAGTCCTCCGCTTGAAGGTGCGTCTTGGCTTCGCGTACCTTGTACTGTTTGGTGTTGGACAGCGTGAAGGAGCGGCCGTAGGTGGGCATGCCGATGACGAGCTTGTCCTTGGGCGCGCCGAGGCGGACCCAGAGGTTGGCGGCGTAGTCCACGCTCAGCTGCTTGCGCCACTCGGAGTCCGAGGAGGGCGCGTACAGGGGCGCGTTGTGGCCAGTCTCGCGCTCCCACTTGCCGTGGAAGTCGTACGCCATCAGGTTGATGAAGTCCAGGTAGCTGCACCGACAGAATGAATGAGCACCTCGTCGCCCCTCGTGGCTCCAATCGGCCCGATGGCCCCGTTATCATCATCCTCGCCACCAGGAGCCACTCTACGTGTTTGTTGTTAATTACAACACTAAAACATCATTGTTACGTCGCCGGGGCCGGGCCGGATGGCGCCCGCGCACCGCCTCGGACCAGCGGAGCAGGGTGACCCGTCGGGTGGCCCGGCGCGGGGCGCCGCCACAACCCCCACCACCCCTCTCGCCCTGTTGGCACTCACCTGGCGACGGCGGGGACGTCGTAGCCTCCCTTGACGTTGTCCGGGCCGACGGGGACGGCGGCGGTGAGCAGCAGACGCGCCTTTTTCACTTCCTGGGCCTCCGCCTCGAAGGCTTCACGCAATTCTGCAATCAGGCGCCGTGGTGCGGGTTTAGTGCAGTCATTAAGGGTGTGGGTGGGTGCGGCGCGCTGCCACCGCCGCTGCTGCGGAGGAAGGAACTCCCGTCGCAGGGCAGGACCCCCCCCCCCCCCTCTCCTCGAAACTTGTAGACCTGAAAGCGTCCAATAAGCAAGCGACTCTGCGTGGAGGTGCGGGCGCGAAGGTCATACACCACCAGGTTGCTACACTTGGTGTGGGAGAGAGGCCGCGGCCGCGACTGCCGCAGAGCCGATATCTAGGACACAGGAAGTGGAACTCGGCCATGCCATGCCGCCCCCCCGGCCGCCGGCTGGGCCTGCCCCGGGCCCCGGGCCGCCGGACTCCATGCAGCACCACGTGGACGAACGGGGGGACAATTAGAGGAAGCGGGTCCTGCTCGACTTGAGGAGGAAGGTGACGCAACCCCATCGACCCGAAGGGCTCGATGCACACCGAGGAGGCCCCCTATGTGCCCATCGGGGGAGAGGAGGAGGCATCCTCGCGTAGAGTATTGGAGGGAGACGGAACGAGGCAGGATAGTCGGCCAACAACGTCGGCTTACCGAGGCTTTGGGGCAGTAAGCGCTGGAAACGAACAACGTTGCTGCTTGCTCTGTCGCCGATTAGAAGGCATTTTGCGATCGCCGCATTCCCCTCCTCACCCCCTCCTCTGACCCGAGTGGTGCTCGCGCGGCACGCTCCGAACTCCCTATTTGCTTTTGCCGTCGTTTGTCTCGGGGAGGAGGAGGAAGGCGGCAATCAACGACCTGCTGCCGGGGCCGCTGCCGGTTGTGTCCCTTTGCTTTGGCGAGCGGGGGCGTTCTCACGCCCGCCCCGCCCCGCCCCGGCCCGCGTGGTGATGCAGCTCTGGGGCAGGGCGGGGTCCGTCTGGCCCGGCCCTGCACCACCACCAGCAGCAGCAGCGGGCTGACACGGGCGCTATTGTTCGGCTGGCGCTGCTGTCACAGCCCGCGTCCCGCGATGCAGCGCAGAGTCAGTATTGCATTACCGACAGGGCGCAGGAGGGCGGGCGGAAGGGCAGCTGCAGTCCCTTTCAGTCCCCCTTGCGCGCATTCCTCCCCATTCTTATCCGGTAGTGGTGAGTGACCCGTGCCTTACGTAAGGAACGGCGCTGCACACGTACACGAGTGGCGGCGGACGGACGGAAAGAGTCTCAACTTGAGCTACCAGGTCACCGCCACCGCCGAGCGTTGTTGGCTTGGACATGACAAACAAACACGTCCAAGCGTGTGAGGGCGCCGATTATAAACTTTTTTGCCTCTTTCACCTCACGCAAGTGTACAGTGGCATGTGTTATTTTTACTGACAACTCGGCGGCGTGGCCGGGCGGGGCGGGCGCGCGCCGGGGGCGCCACTGATGAGAACGGCCCGCTGTGCTCGCAGCGCTCGCAGCGCTCATTATGTCTCGCGGGTGGTGGTGGTGGTTGGGGGAGGGGGAGGGGGATTCCGAGAGGGATTCGCCGGGTGCAGACGATGATCCCGGACGTGCGGAACACGGCGCGCCGCGCCGAGCCGCCGCGACTGCATTTCACGTTAACACATTTCGGGATTCGGTCACCGCACGATCGCATACCCACCACCACCACGATGCAATCATCTCTCCCTCCCCCCTCCCCTGTCTCAAACGCCGACCGTCAGCGTCAATGCGGAAGAGAGATGGAAGAGAGGCTCACACACATCTCAGGGGTGGGGCGGTGGGGAGGGGTGGGCTTGACGGGCGGACCGACGGGCGGACGCGTAGAAATGCGGGGCATCCACGCGACATCCGGACGCGGAGGGCGAGAGGGGGG